AAAATTGATCCACACCTTCAAAAAGACCGATTCAGCAAGCTGCTCATCTCAGCCCAAAGGGAAAATGGGAAAACGCATTTATTTATCAGTGTGAATGAAAGCACAGGGACATCTCACCACAGATTTCGTATAGGGCTGGTGAGAACTTTCCAACCTGAGATTCATTGTCTGAAGACATCGACCAATTCACTAGAAAGAACAACGGCATAGCTTCCCATATACAATCAGCATCAACAGAGTCTTTAAACACAACCACGATATTAGTTTTTGTTTATTCTTTTTTTTTTTTTGGCAACAATGTTACACCATTAGGATCCATCACTCTGAGTTTCTAGTGTTCTACAGAACTTCTGGTGGATTTGTCATTATCATACAACAACCCTGAGTTTCCAACAAAGCGTTAGATAAAAAGAGCCAAAAACCAGGACCAGACCAGGACCATAACAAATAAGCCTTTAATATGGGGAGGATCTGAAACTCAGTTATTACAGCAAGCTTTGCCCTCACAACAGCCACCTATCCATTATCTCAGTAAGTGTGCTCTCCCTGTGCTTCCTTTTCTGAAAAGGGCCAATATTCTAGGGGGAATTGGCACTGGGGTGGCAGGAATATAAACATCAACATATTGCTGTTAACTCCCTGTTCCAAGAGCTAAATGAAGATATGGAAAGGGTAGCTGATTTTCTTGTCACCCTACAGTCCCAAATCAGTTCACTGGCAGGTGTGATACTCCAAAATAGATGGGCCTGTTGGAGACAAGGTAAAGAAACTCAGGGAATGCATAGAAAAAATGTAGATGAGATCTAGACAGGCTACACCCTGTCAGGATCAATGGCTTCCATGACTTCTTCCTTTCCTGGGACCCCTCACTATTCTCTGCATAATCCTACAGTTTGGACCCTGTCTTTCCTGTTGTCTTCAAAATTTCTTACAGGAATACATGAGAGCATTTACTAACCAGTCATTGAACTCGTCATGTCAGGGTACCGGCCACTGCAGCAGAAGGAAGACCCTAACTACTGCTGCCCCCATCAGATCCACATTTAACCCCAACTTTCGCCCCTTTGTCAACTTGAAGCAGCTCCAGAAGAAAAGACCTTCGCCCAGTAATCATAAAACAAAGGCTTGGAATGTTAGATTTCCCTTGACTTAAAATGGTTGCTATACAAAACAGCAGCCTCCTCTTTCCCATAATGCTCTGCGCCTTAAAATGGTGGCCACATGAATAGCAGCCTCCTTCCCATAATGCCATGTTAAAATATGCCTTCCCAACCTAGAAGATGTGGCCCAGATAACGGCCATGGCCATTTTCTTAAAAATGCAACAGGAATCCTGCTAGATTATTTTATTTTGTTTGCACTTTCTTTTGGGGGGATTGGCATTTTAAAAATCAGTATTTAAATTGAAGAAATTATTGTGTTTTATTTAATAAAGTTGAAAGTGACTGCTCTGTACATCATGACCTTAACACTGTTGATACTCTAAGTGAAAGTTCACTGTCATCTAACACTAAATTCACCTATGTTTTTAACTTAAAATTAGGAATGCAATATCCCCCACCAGCCTTAGACCAGGGTGTGACTCTGTCGGGGTGCAGTATGCAGTTTTATGGAGCCTTGCTTTCTAACGCTGGGAAAAAAGAAGAATAAAAAAAGATGTCTCTATTTACTGGCTTCAATGCAGTTTTATGGAGCCTTGCTTTCTAACGCTGGGAAAAAAGAAGAATAAAAAAAGATGTCTCTACTGGCTTCAGTAAACATGAATCCAGACTGCTTACAAAAAAAAAAAGGCTTCTCCCACCAAAGGAGTCTTCTTCACCTTCCTGCTGCTTCCTCCCAAAAAAGGTAACCTGATACCTGATGCCTCCTAGCAGCTGATGATGTCACAAGCCCTTCCTAGTGATGTCACAAGCTTCGCCAATCTCTTAATACTACCTCACTCAACTCCACCCCAGCTCAGGCTAACCCCATCCCACTCCTATAAAAGGAACTCCCTTTTATAACAATACTTAAAATGGTATATGCCTAATACATAAGAAAAGAAAAGAAAAGAAAAAAACTGCCTATATCAATCAGCCCAAAGAAAGCTCTGGGCTGTATACAGTAAACTGTATAGTATCTCTTTAATGGATTTCAAGACAATTGAAAAGATGTTTTGTGTCTGGAAAAAGTGTTCTTTTATAAGTTCTGGACAGGGAGAAAAAAAAATATAAGTTCTGGACAGGGAATGAAAAAAAAAAGGAAGGAAGGAAGAAAAAGGAAGAAGAAAAAAAAGAGCATCTGCAGCATATTAAATTACAATAAAAGCTTTCCAGAAACTAGATAGACCACAGACACAGTACCCTCAAATAAGTCACATGTATATTTAGTGAAATGAATTAGTTCAAAAATTATACTGAATAGGAAAACTAAGACTCCTGAATTGTATTACTAGAAGCACAGATAGCTTCTACCTTCAGTTTTGCTAGCACTTGTAATACACTTTAACCTATGGAGAAATCCTCCTGGTAGAGTCTCCTGGGAAAGCCCTTCCTGAAACAGTGACCTTTCCAGGGTGTAGGATTAACAATGAGCCTGACTCTCGCTAAGATAAAGCTGTACCTTTCCTCACATTCAAAGGATGAGGGCAACTGCCTCCAATCAGTGGTGAATATAGCCTGTCTGCTGGCTGCGCAATCAGTGGCCTGCCAGTTACTCGCCCTCTCCTTTAAAAAAATTTTGGGCACAGACTAGAATTTTTCAGTGAAGACCAAAACAACAGTAGTCAAGTTCAGACAGATGACGAGAAGACACTGCAATCTCTGTTTTATTTCAGCTAGATTACAGCACCTGCTTTGATTCTTCATTTTTTATCACTATTTTCTTGTTGGGCCTTATTATGGAAATATCTTCTTAAGAATTTCTGTGAATCTTTGTTTTTTTAGTTTCTTTTGTTTTAATCCTTCATAGTTGATTCAATTGTTGGACATGGAGAGCCATGCTGGATGTTAGTATTACAATTTTTTTGCCTGCTAAAGACTCCTAATCCTTCATTCTCATCATTTTTAATCACTTTGACTGAGTCATAAGCTATCAAGTATGTCTGTGAAGGTCAAATCATTTGCTTAATTTTGAAAGGATGTAAGAATTATTCCAATTTGGCAGAAGTCAGAGTTACACTAAGTACTGACTTCTTTCCAGAGCTGATTCATTGCGACTTGTTTCTGGGGATTGGGGGAAGGGTTGGAAGATGGTTCCCAGAGACCTAGCAACATTCTCTGAAGCCTCTGAGGGAGGCAGTCAGTGAGGGCTACAAATTTGAGAAGAAATGAACAGGGACAGCTTCCCAAGCCCCAAAGATCTCCATTCCAAATACGCCAAAGTTTTCCCATCTAACACCAACAAAGCATAAGCTTGGGGTATTTTGCATAGAGTATGCCCTAATAGAATGCACCAGGCTTTCTGAGCCTGCAAACAGACAAGCAGTTGATTTAACGTTACCACAGAAAGGTAAGGAACTTAGCCCCTACTTATGTAGGTACAATCAGAAATGTTTTCTCCCTGGTCTCTTTGTTTATTCATTTTCCTTATCTGGAAGCAGAACAATTGGTCTAAAATTAACCCCGTCAGGGTTTCAGAACCATCACAGTAATAGGCATAAATTCTAATTTGGTCCCCAGATCATATTTCTTGTCTATATTTTACATTTTAAATAAGCATCTAAGTCTATGCCTGCACCAATCTCCTAATTTTGAAACCCCTTTCTGCCCTTTTGGTTTCTAGTTCTTCCGTGACATCCAAAGGGAGTATAGGATTTCTCCAACAAAGAGTAATTCACTTCATAGGCCACAGCGGAAATCTGACCCCCTCACCACAATCACCAAGAATCAAGCCATTAGGACTCTCTGAAAGTTGCTAATCACTCCTTTTTTACCTTTTGCAGCAGATAGCAACTTAGAACTTACCCCTCCTTCCAGAGGGCTTGCTATCCACCCAAGTTCTCCCTGAACAGATCTGGAATCCAATAAAGTAACTGCAAAAAACAAAGGAAAATAGATTAATTTCCAATTGGACAAAGGCAATAATACAAAAACCATTTGCCTGAGCGTTTCCATATGTGTGGAGGGGGTGCATATCCAACTCTGATCAAAACCTAAACTTGGTCTCACTTATGTAAATAATCATTACTCACTTGATCCCCTCCCCTCTTTAAATCTGCAGGTTCTTATTTATTTAACTTGCTTAGCATTTAAAATTCCATCCCAGGATTCAGTAGATCCATTTTCTAAAGAGGATGAATACAGAATCCTCAAGTACAATTAAAAAAAAAAAAAAACAAAAAAAAACCAAAAACAAAAAACCCAAAAGCCAAATATATTAATGTAGGGCAGTAACAGGAGAGCAAATTCTGCATTAGTCTCTGTCTCATTTCTGTTGGAAGGATTTGTTTGTGTAAGTTTCAGATGACCATATAACTCATCCTCACCGCGACAGAAGCATAAGTGAATTCTATCAGAGAATCCGAAGGGTCGGAACAGTTCTCCCCTAAAATTTTCCCCCTTCACCACCAAATAAATAGTCCCTGAACGAGGTATCCATGCTTAAAAAAATAAAGTAAGTTTCAGAACTGGGCGGGGGGCGGTGGTGGTGAGAAGGAGGTGCCAGAATCGAATGCAAATGTACTCAAGGATTCCGTCTTTCCCAGGTCTTCTGGAGGACAATCTGAGACTCGTCCTCCACCCCCAGGAAATCACTGGTTTGAATTTTAGGTACCGAGTGGTGCCTAGTGGAAATAAGATGCTGTGCTACACCTCGGAGTGTACCTCGAAGCTTAGGGGGAAAGGAGAGGGAGCCTACAGAGCTGCGGTGCCCA